TCGCTGAACTCATTTTCCGTGTTGGTATCCATTACACCACCCGATTTAATATATTGAAATATAAAATGCCATAATAAAATTATTTTAGTATTTTATGTTACAAAGGATATGTAACTTCACTTAGATTGTGGTTGTCACGTGTTATGAAATATTTTAAGAAATTCGCTTACACTGCAATCAAAGCGATCAAGGGATTGCATTAGACAAAACTTTTCTACAAGTAAAGTTTCATAGTTTATTCTTTATTACAGAAACCAAAATAATGAACAAGACAAAGCAGGAAACAATTTGATTTTACAAATGGAACCAACATAATATATCTAAGAACTAAGATGTCGAATAAAATTAAGCAATTAGTTTTTCTTCTATGAAGTTACCTACAGGTATCGTAAGGTGGAAATTCCAATCGGTTTCTGCACCATGCACCTTGCCAGGGCAGAGGGCTAAATACCAAATTGTATTGACGTTTTCTGCTTATCAACTGTGCTTTAGGAAAAAAAAATGTCGATGTCAGAGGCGAGGCGCTTTATTTGAAGGAAGATAAAGAATAAAATCTGGGAATAAAATTTAATTAATGTATTTTTCTTAAGGAAAATGAGAAATTCTTAATTCAATTCCGAAATGGTAATAACTTGACTTGAAATGAAGGCACGAAAACTCACTCGGTTGAGATTTGAGGAAGTATTTTGAAAATTGACGTGATTCTTTTGAAAATTACTTGTCTTTTTCTTTAATTACTGTTGTCACGTTTTTACATATTCACATCGACAAGCTGTTATCACGCACAAGTTTGACGACATTGGATATGTTATTTCTGGTTAAATCAATAAAATCCAACAATATAATAAATAACGATTTATTACTATTTATTAACAATACGTTAGTACAAGCCAATGGAAAATGGAGAAATTAGATAAAAAATGTTTGAATCATTTCACAACAAGCAAGGTGAAAAATGTCACTAACATGCAATAGGTTACTGGGGGTGAAAGAAACAGGTAGGACAATAAAATAACAGGTTTTAAGGAGACAGAAGATGACACTTGACATTGAACATACATTTAAATTTTTGAAAATCACAGTTGATATGGAAACAGGGTGCTTCAAATGGAAAGTGCAAGGGAGGAATCTATTACCATAGAACTTACGGTTTCAACAATGACATTATGAGACCTAGAGACAATTTTGCAATGTGCTTAAATTTGCGAAGTTGTGGTACCAAAAAGGAAAGCTCATTCGAAAACTTCCCGTGACAATATTTATTGAAAAGTCCTAGGAAAACAACGTTACAGTGATGGAAATATATGTGTAGCTGTAATGCTAGGTTTCAAGTCAGGTAGACAGTCTGGTTTAACCATCTACATTAGACCTGAACCTTCCTTCACAACTCTCCTTTCTCTGTTTACATATTATTCCAAACAATAAGGAAGCCCAAATCAAGGTTTGGTTTGGTTTGGTTTGGTTTGGTTTATTTTACGGCATATCAACCTCTATGGATTATTTAATGCCTGACATAATTTTATTGCTGGTAATATTTTTTTTCAAAAATGTATTGCTGGTAATAATAGTTTTTTTTTCCAAAATCTATTAATGGTAATATTTTTCTTAAATGTCTTCCTGGTAATAATTTTTCTTTAAAAATTCATTGCTGGTAATAACCTTTAAAAATGAATAAAAAAAATAAAATGTTATTAAAACCTATTTTTACACATTCATAATGTTTTGACCCCAGTTTTGGGGGTCAATTATTTGCCCATAGCTGGGACCCTAACAGGTGCTACCACACCGGGTCAGGGTGGATCAGGGAACACCAGCAATTAAGAGGTGGTTCCACGCTCCTCAAAACCTGATCAGAGACCTTTCTGTTGGATGTAGTTTATCATCTTAACCAGGACGCGTCTTACCCAAATTAGAATATAAATTTTAATAAGACAATGTTCAGAGCAACTCCACATGAAAACAATCATTGCGATGATATACCACGTGCTTAGTGAAAAAGCGGTAAATATATTATTTTGAAAACAATAAATTGATGTTATCCAGTAATTTTATTGACTTTTCAATTTGTTCATAGTGCCAGAACCAGGTTCATTAGCTGTTTTGGATTTATAGAAGAACGAATAAAAATTATATATAATCCGACTCACTACAATAACAAATCATTTCCCACCCCAGACCTCTCACTCACGGGCGGGAAATGGCAAGCTACTCACTGCCCTATAGCTATTTCCATGGAAAGTGTTTGGATGAACTGCATGTCTTCGTTCCGCCAGTTGAAACGTTCACAACCAGGACCCATCATGCCACCCACATTGTAGCAAACCAACAACATTCGCTCCGTATTCCATTGTTGAAAAGTAAGTTCTATCCAAATGGCTTCTTACAATGAACTACCTGTGGAAGCAACTCCCAAGAGTATGTTTCCCCGATCACTACAATCTTAGCCTGTTCAAGTCTAGTGTCAACCGTGATCTTCCCCTCCTATCCGCATAAACTGCCTCTTACTTTAATCCTCTACCTCGAGTGGCCCCTGGGCCTGCTACGGGACGAACCTCACTATATATATATATATATATATATATATATATATATTAGGATATTACATCGAAAACATCTCAAAATCGCTATACATTGCAGTCGTATGTGGATGCGTACAAATGCATCTAATCGGGCGAGTGAACGATTTGTTTACATTTGAAAGAAAAATACAGGCTCTTTTTACGAAAAAAGAAAAGAAAATATTACAATCGCCTGCCCAGATGCATTAATACACATCAAAAGAGGACTGCAATTGTGTAGTGATTTTGACAAGTTTTCGGTGTAATATCCTAAAATTGAAAAAAAAAATATTGCTCTACTTTGTACTGAATCCTCTTTTAAATTAAATGTTACAAACGTTTTAATTGTACTAAATTATTAGTATCTCCAATAAAATCCTTACAATCTAAAAATATTTTCTTGTTTTAAATAGATTGTAAAAGGTAGATAAGCCGTAAAAAATTATAAATCAATCCATCGTAGATTCAAGTTGAAATTTTTTTATACTTAGTTTCCCATAAGTCCACACCTGTTAGGCATTCTATAAGAACTGATCTCACTCAATCAGTAATCATCTTCTAAGCACTATTAAACACTGAAAGGCACCCATAGCTTGATATCAATAGTGCTCTGAATATATTTAGATTTTGTATTAATTACTCTTTTAGCTCATCGTGTTCTGTACAAGAACTAAAATGTTGCCCTTAAAGGTCATTGAATGTTTTAAGCTCGATTTTTATGCTGGGCCACTCCAAAGACTCTTTTAAGGATACTTTTCTGTTTGATTATCATTGATATTTGTATTGGCATATTATTTAATGTCGCAAGCCCTGCCTGAAATGAAGAGATGTTATAAAGAATATATATTGCTATTTCAAATCAATTGATTTTCCTTTTGACCGTCATTGAACGTGGCTAATGCAAAAATTTCTAAAAACATATTACTCTAACCTTTATGCTTTAAAGATTCTAGTATAGATAATAAGATGTATGACCTTTATAACAGTCATATGTTTTAGGGAAAAATCAAAAGATCTGTTGCGTCTGTGTATAAAATGACACTTTTCTAAGTTTGCCAGACAGAAGTCTTCAGTTTTACGTTTTTCGAATTTCATATTTTCTTATTCAATGCTGTAGAAGACTAATGGAATGTTTTGAGGAAATTTATGTGAAGTTACTGCGTCTATCGCAAATGGCAGATTTTTTTTTACAAAATATGAAATATTTTCGGTTGCAAAATATATTCCTTTTCTTCCTTAAATGTCGAATTATTTTCTGATTTTGATTTTTGCCTTAGTAGTTATCAAATTATTTTATTAGTATTACCGAGTCAAAAATCGTTATTTCAACAATTCTCACAGCGAGAGTTGAAATTTCTTAAATGCGGTATTTTTTTAAGGAAGTTCTTTTTATCAAGATGTTTGGTAGTATAACGGATAACGACTTCGTAATTAGAATCAAGAAACCGAGTTCAAATTCGGGTTTAGTCACTTCGACTTTCGCACAAATCTCCATGGGAATGGCATGACGTCCGTCACTTCTAGCGAGCCAGCTATGGATTAAATAACAGCATAGACTGGACTCTCTAAATCTGTGTGGCAAGCACTTTAGGAGAAAGAGAACAATGGATTGAAAACTGTGATGATTCAGTGGTAAACCTCTCCATTGTGTTTAGATCTTTATCAGAAATGCACAACAATTCACAGATAATAAGTTAATGTGTTGAGAGATTTGTAATCTCCAACGTATTGTAAGAAAGCAACCTTTTTAAAATTATTACTACTAAACTTTGATTTGTTAAAACATGTATGTTTCCTGAAATTTTACAGTAATTTAAGGAATCTTGTCGGCTTCGACAAAGAAAACTTAAAAAAACAAGAGATTAATTTACTTGATCTGTCATGTTAATGTGTAAAGAGAGATTTTATGGTCAGAAAGCAACAACTGCTTCGGATTTCATTTTCTTCATCTATTAATTAAATCTTAATATAATTTTGATCAGTGTTCATCACAATGTGGAAACTGTCATAATAAAAAGAAACATAATGCATATGTAGGTAGGATAACAGTTATTCGCGCTGAAAGTGAAATCGGCCTGATTAGTTCAAAAACCTGTCTAGTCTATTGTGTCTGTTTCATAGTAATGCTATTGGGAAAAAAAAAGAAAACAAAAAACAAGAATCCATTTGATCGACTCCCCTCAATTATAGGATAAATAGCACTTCGAACCGATCTTTCTAGTTTGGCCGTCATGCAGTGGAGGCGAAGGCTTTGTACGAAGTTAAAAAATATCACTAAAACAATAGGAAATCCCAAGATTGTCTTTCGGAAGATGCCTTGGTAATAAAAAAATGATAATGAAAAATTGTGAAGAGCCATGATCGCCTACGAAGAAAGAAGAAATGACATATATAAAAAATATATAAAATTAGATACATAGATATATACATGGATATAAAAACTTGAGAGAAAGAGAGAGAGAGAGAAAGAAAGAAAGAAAGAAAGAAAGAAAGAAAGAAAGAAGAGAAGAGCTATAGATTGATAGATAGACTGATAGAAAGAAAAAAAACATTAGATGATCAGATAGATAGATAGATAGATAGATAGATAGATAGATAGATATAAAAAAGCCTCGGGGAGGGAGTGAAACGAACAACAAAAGAACGAAAGATAAATTGACAGACAGAAACACCCATTTAGAGATAGATAGATAGATAGATAGATAGATAGATAGATAGATAGATAGATATGAAAATAATCCGAAAAACTGAACAGACTTGTAAAAATAAACAGACAGACAGAAATAATCATCGATCTATCTATATTATATTTAAAAGTTACCGTTTTTTTTTCTTTGTCGGCGCGTACGCATATCGTAAGATTTCATGAGTTGACAGAATGGAAGAGGAAAGCAAAGAACAGCGTACAAGATGGCCGAGTAAAAATTTCTCGGGCTACGTGTGAGGAGATTGCCTGTTGTATTTAATAAGATAAATAATTAATCTGGGATCTTCTTCGACCTTACGAAATTAAAAAATATCCACTGACTGTTAAGTTAACTACTGGATATGTATATAAGGTACGTGTAAGTAGATTAACTGTAGGTTTTAATATGCAACTGTTGTTGTTGTTGTTGTCTGTCTGTCTGTCTATCTCTCTCTCTCTCTCTCTATATATATATATATATATATATATATATATATATATATATATATATGTGTGTGTGTGTGTGTGTGTGTGTGTGTCTGTATGTATGTTCGTTATAGATCTCCAGATTTTTTTAACCGATCTCGCGTAAACTTGACCAACCGCTAGCTTATTCTTTATTTATGGTCAAGATCAACTTTATTCCAAACCCCACATGAGTATAATTCGCGAAAACTGTTTAGAAAACCAGGTTTTTGCCAATAATTGCCAGTATTATTCAATCGATTTTCTCCAATTTGACAGGATCGTTACTTACGGCATAACAATTATTTTGATTACATTGTTTTAAGGTCATTCGCATAAAATTTGTTTTTTTTTTTTCCATTAAATTTCGCAGTTTCCAACCGATGCGTTTTACATCTTGCACAAACATTTCTTATACCTCAGGGAATGTTTCGAACTAATTATGTATCAAATTAAATCCCTTTAAATTTACGATTTATTTGATTAAACTAATTAAACTTCTGCCATTTGATTAAATTGATTAAACATTACTTCTCTCCAAATTTGGGAAGAATATTACTCATGCTTAAGGGACTGCCTAAAAATTAATGTTTTGTTAAGTTTATTCGCTTTAAAGTTGCTATTTATTTGATTAAACTGATTAAACTTTACTCCGCTCATGGTGTAGCAACACGGGTTCAACTTCGAACATGTTCCTTCACATGTGAGCATGAACACTATTAATTCGCCACATTCAACGTCTTATTTGTTGTAAACTACTGCTTATTTAGTGTTTACCCACTGTTCCCTTTTATCGCCGACGGTCGTAATACCCCTCCCCACCACACTTTTCACCACCATATTCCTTAATTCATTTTGCGCATTGTCTTATAATAAGGGGTGACTGCAAACATAACCTGAGACCTGTGTGTGTAAACACTAATAAGGCCCCATTTCAGGCCCTTAATTCGTATGAACGTCTGTTTATACTACATCCTTGGTGTTTACTCACTATGCCCATGGCCTGATGATAAGGGGTGAACTGTGAAGATGACCTATGACCTGTTCGCGTGAACACTACTAATTATCCAATCAATTCTTTGAGAGAATTTAATTGGTTCAGACCCTTCTATACCGTGAAGTACCGTCATATTACTCTTGGAAAGATAAAGGTGAACACGAAGATTGGTAAGATAATCTGGACATCCAGGCATCAAGTTTGACCATTGCCCTGGTAGAGTATATACAGGCCACCCCAGCCAACAGGAGTGCTTCTACCTTTGACTTTTATTGCAAGAGTTCCGAAGTGATTTCTCGACTTAAAAAATGGTTTAATGGATACGTTTATAGCAGATACCACGTGGCCTTTGTTAAACAGGGTGCTCAGGTGGATGTAACTCTCGAGGAGGCTGCTACAATGCGAAGAACAAAACGTCGCCGGCAACACTTTGCTGTGTTAGAGCACAGGTGTGAGCACTGTAATCCTATGTGTTTATTGGAGATATACAAAGAGGTCGTTTCTGAAGACTTCAAACACCATGGTCAACTAATACTTTGTGGCTTCGACACAGAAATCAGTGACAAATTTATAAAGAAAGCGCTTGTTGACATCGAAGACAGCGTTGTTTCCAATCATTGCAAAATTACGGCCTGGTCTAAGTTCGTCGAACGAGTTCAAAAAAATCATTCAACAGGCATTTTTCAGGAAACCTCCTACAACATCGACGCTCTTGAATGGTATGTCAGCGAAAATGAGACAATCTTGCTTAAGTCAAACATTTGGTTTACAATACTATTTTCGACTACGTTCGCCTCCGCAAAGGTGGTATGTTCTTTTTGGATGGTCCTGGAGGGACAGGTAAAACATTCGTCACGAAGCCACCCCTCGCAAAAGTACGGCAATAGTAGGGGATTGCTTTGCCTATGGCGTGCTCTGGAATTACTGCAACCCTTCTGCCCGGTGGTAGGATAGCACAACCTGCCTTGAAGCTGTGAATTAATTTGACTTTGTCTGATTTAGCGAACGGCAACATGAGCAATGATTCGGATAAAGCTGACGTCATGAAAAAGTATGAGCCCATGATGAGTAGGCTCAGTGAACAATGGCTCACAAAGCTGTTCTCGACGCCCTGGATAGGACTTTGCGAGACATAAGGAACTATTAACATTCACTTAGAGGAGTACCTGTCCTTCTATCAAGTGATTTCAGGCAAACTATCCCCATTGTTCCCAAAGGTACAATGGACGGATGTTGTGAAAGTATATATTAAGTCATCACCTTTGTGACAACAGGTCATATTTTTGCCGCTTCAAACCAACATGAGAGTTGAATCTGTTCGCGGACCAAATGTCAGTGCATTTTTCAAAGGACCTCCAAGCAGGGATGGTAACGTGCCATTAGATGAAGTTGGAGAGATTTCACTTTAACAACTACGCTCCGTTGTAAATACTGTTCACGACCTCAAAGCTGCTGTATTTCCAAATCTGGCTAACAATTTTAGAAACCCCAATAGGTTGTATCAGAGGCAAAATTGGCTCCAAAAAACATGTGTTGTCAAAATGAATGAAGAACTGCTGAAATACCTACCAAGAAGCCTTCAAACCTACAAGTCAATTGACACCCTTGACGATCCACAAGAAATAGTTCGCTATCCAGTAGTATTTCTAAACTCTTTGAAACCTTCTGAACTACGACCCCATATATTTCATCTCAAAATCAGAGCCCTAGTAATGTTGCTGAGAAATCTGGAACCGCCACGGCTCTGCAATGGAACCCACGTTGTGCTTAAGAAACTGCTGTCATATATTATTTAGGTCACTATTCTCACAGGATGTGGTATGAGAGAGGATGTATTCATAGATAAGATACCTTTCACTACACAAGATGCGGAATACCCCTTTGTTCTGCGTAGACTTCAATTTCCACGCGATGTCAATCAACAAGTCTCAAAGACAAACGTTCTCTACAGTACGTCTATGTTTAGGTGAGCAATTCTTTTCCTATGGACAGCTATATGTTGTTTCTTTTATAGAGGGAAGTATACAAATTTATTCGCTTTCACCTCAAATGGAAAAAAAAAAACTAAACAATGTTGTCTACATGTCCACCAGTAGTCACAAGTTCTGTATCAATTTCAGTCCTTAGAGTTTGCCCATATTTCCACACATGATTTAGATGAGTAAGACACTTCGCGTATTTTTCCGTTTTGTTTGACTCTTACTGATTCTATGTTTCTCTTTTGTCGGCATTAGATTCCGCGCCCATTCCACTAGAAGCCGTTGCCATGTCTCCCATGTATACTACCGTCTCTTACTGTACATAAACAAAGAAAAGCCATTTTTCGGTCTACCACATCTAAACTGTAACATTCTGAGGAAACGTATTTCATCCGTTTTTTAGGGCTTCCACTGTTTGATTGTTACACTCTCAGGGGGTGTTTTCCAGCATTTTTAGCGCTACTACAATTTGATTGTTAAACTCTCAGAGAACGCTGTCAAAAGCTTTTTAGATCTACCAATATTTAATTTTTACACTGTCAGTGAACAGCCTTTTTCAGTGTTTGTCCTTAAGCTGACACTTCTTACAAGCATCGCTATGATTTAGATCCCTTGCAACGCCGGGTATATCTGCTTATGCTTTTAAAATATTTTTGGCATATTAAAAAAAATATTTTAAGTTCATCTGATTTAAAAAAAAAATATTTAACTGCATAAGATTTGAACTATTTTTTTTTAATACAGCAATTATTTTTCGTGCTTTTCTAAGCGTAGCTTAGATGTGGCACAAGGCCGAAAGTATGGAGCACCCAGTGAGGATTGAACTCACTACTCAGTCGTAATTGATCTAGCAAGACAAGCTTTCTAATCATTATAACACGTCGAGGTACCCTACAGCAATTATTTTTATTTCAACTCTCTTTGAACCAGCTAGTATAGAAAATCTAAATGTTCAGTTAAAAAACAAATAAAATATTTGATAATGGCTAATAGAATAACCAAATTCGCTCGTATATATAGAACATTTGTGCAGTTTTTACACACTTTAATGCCCAGAAAAGAATGCAAGAAAAATATATAAAAAGCTTAATCACAGTACTTTGACAGTTGTCTTTATTGAAACATATATGTATGTATCGCTGGCCATTCGTATTAGAGGATACCAGTCTACTAGCGCGGCTAGATAATCCCTATTGCAGACGCTTGCTCAGGGGCATTTACGTTTATTTAATATCCACAGTTATGGCATAAATGACAGGAGTTTGTGAAGAGCCATGATCTCCCACGTTCCGAAAGGTCACGTGACATAGCGGGAGATCTTTCATCATGTTTTATAAACATTAAATACCTGGAGATTGTGTTAGCTTTGTTATAATAAGAATCGCCTGATCTCATCCTATGATAGGTTTTGTTGTTTTATTTCTTCTCTTTTTCCTTGGGCGTCTATTTTTCTCTCTGGGGAATTAATTAGTGAGACAGTCTTATATAGGGCAGATCGTGAAAGCACACTAAACGCATTAATGGAATAAAACAGAAAGAAAAACGAACGATAGTTTAATGAAGAGAAAGGGAAAACTAACAAGAAATCTTCAGCTATAAAGATCAAACGTCACAGAACAATATAAAATGTGTGAGAAATTGATTATAGATATGTAGTAAAGAACTAATCTATTATACAACAATGTTGTGCTATAGTAATAGGGATTATATTTTTGTACTATTGAAATCTATGAAACTGTCCGAGATATTTAAAGTCAAAAGATATTTAACAGATTTTTCTTTACAAAATGAGGGGACATGCACAAAAAGACGCGGCACGGGCGCTCAGACACACACACACACACACGCACACACAGACACACAGACACACACACACACACTCATATATACCGGGTGTAACAGCAGAATTGTCCATCCCACAAAATGTTTAATATCTAAAAAACCCCACTAAACTAATTCAGTTTCTTTTTTCCAGCTGTTCAGGTAAGATGTTTATCCATCTTGACACCATTTGTCGTAAGAATCACTGCAAATCTATTTTAGTTATTCAGCTAAAAAGAGACCAGGTTAATATCGTTTTGTGTGAGCCCCACTGTCTTCCCAACTGAGCAATGGTCAGAGGAAAAAGATTATTCAGGCCTTTAGCAATGCTACCAAAATTCATACGCTGGCTTTCCTCTTCAAAGTCCATTCGGAAACCATCAAGAGAACGGCGAATAAGTTTTAAAAAGGGGGAACAGTAGAGAGGAAAACAGGACCAGGGGGTTACAACAGAAAAAGGGAGTTAGAGCTGAAGAGATCAATTAGAAAAGATCCAAACCAATTAATAAAAGGTTTGGCACATGAAACAATAGTGAAAAAGGACTTCGAAATGAAATCGTACGTGAAGCACCTTGTTACTACAGGCATAGAATGTTAGAGAAGGTGAAATAATCTTGAATAAGTTGGAAAATGATCCTGGAATATATATATATATATATATATATATATATATATATATATATATATATATATATATATATATATGTGTGTGTGTGTGTGTGTGTTGTGTGTATGAAGAAATATACTCTAAGGTGTGCTATATTTATGGGATAAAAGTGCTCAATATTCAGAGACAGAGCGTGTGTAAATATAAAAGTGAACATTGAAGTCAACACTTAACAGTGACAGTCTGTTTCATGCTAAACGCAATCGTTAGGCCACCGATTGAGTCTAGCATGAAACAGATTGTCGCC